AAAAAAAAAAAACCCTCTAAACAGGAAAGATGAGCGGCTTACTGGGAGCGTGTCGAGGACACTGGGACTCGCGCTTGGAGAGCTCTGACCCGCGCAGGAGGAGGTTGGGACTTTCACGCTCTCCTTCCCACTCACGCATATATACGGAGAAGGCGCATTCTTAGTTGTTAACAGTATATGCAACATAGCCCAACTATAATAGGATCTATACTAGATAATCCTAGAGAAAACGGTAGAGCTACTAGATGACCTAACTAACCACAGCTGTGACCAAGGGCAGGAGCTCCAGCCGCGGCCTCCTGCTGTCCCCAAAGCTGGGCACACAGAGCCCGCGGCCCCGGGCGGGCCTGCTGCTCGGAGCTCCCTTGATAATTTCAAGGGCTGTCGAGACGTTCTGCCTACCTATTAGCTTTCCTTTATTTTTTTAATTAAGTTTTTGAGAAAAAGTATTTTTGAAAAGTTTGTCTTGCAATGTATTTATAAATAGTAAATAAAGTTTTTACCGTTAAAAGGAGAGGACATGTCTGTTCTCTGTTACTGGCCTGCTTCTGGGTGTTGTGGCTCCAAAGGAATAACTCTGAGATGGTAGCCATCCTGGCGGGGGGAGAGAACTGCACAGACGTGTGTTCCTGTCTGGCTGACACAAGAACCCTGGCAAGACCCTTCTGGTGGCCTTCAGTGGCATCCATGTAGCTAGGGTCACTCTGGCTCTTTTAACCCCCCCACCATTTGAGGTTTGGATTTTCTCAGTACTGAGAAACTAAGCCCACACAGTCTTCACAGTGAGCTACAACTTCAGCCACATTTTAATATTTTTATTTTGAAACATGATCTCACTAAATCGCTAAATTGCCCAGGCTGGGTTTAAACATGTGACCCTCCTGCCTCAGCCTCGCAGGTGCAGGACTGGCAGGCCTTTGCCAGTGCATCAGGCCATCTCAGGAGAACCTTCGGCCGGTGTTGGTCGTCGGTAGTCACGACGTGGGCAACTTCTAGGTTCTGGGCAATGTGCTCTGTATCATCTTTGAGGGGACACCCACGACCCCTGGATCCTGCCACTATCCACCTGCCACGGAGGTGCACAGAAGCAGGCAGCGGGGACCTGGAGGCCTGGGTGGGTTCTGAGGTCTGGGCCCTCTCCCAGAAGCCTGTCACCGAGCCACTTCAGATCCAGCCTTGAGCCCACAGCTTTGCACAGGCAGAGGTGAGCCTGCTCCAGCATCAGGCGCTGGTTCTGTGGGTGCTCAGGTCTGAGGGCGTGGGCTGCCGTGGGGACAAGTAGGGAACTGGCAAGCAGACCTCTCAGACCTGGCCAAGTTGTGGGCAGAGGGGGGAGGAGTGCAGGAGGTTTGGGGTCATGGAGTGACCAGGCAGGGCCTGGAGAGCAAGCTATACAGCTAGGAGTCCAAGTGTCACTGCAGAGGTGTGACCCATACAATGACGCAATGACATTTGTTTTTGAGATAGTTTCCTTATATAGTCCAGGTTGACCTAGAACTCACAGTGATCTTCCTGACTCAGCCTCCCGAGTGCTGGGGTTACAGGTGTGCAGCTCACAGCAACACCATTCATAAACCTGGGGGTTCGCGTTCCCAGATGCTGCTAATTTATGTGCCCTCCTCGCTCTCAGCTGACCTCTGACCTCTGCCACTTTCCACACTTGGGGTTGACTGGTAGATGATGATGATAATGATAGATAGAGAGAGAGATAGATGATAGGTGACTGGTAGAAATAGATTGATATATAAAGATGATTAATAGATTAAAGGGATGGATGGATGGATGGTTGGATGAATGGATGGATGGATGGATGGATGGATGGATGGATGGATAGATGGATGGATGGATGGATGGATGGATGGATGGATGGATGGATGGATAGATGGATGGATGGATGGATGGATGGATGGATGGTCTAACCCATGAATTCTACTTCTCTGGAGAACCCTAACGTAACACTTGGATCACGTCTTCCCTGCATACCTCCTGCCATTTCCAGCATGTGCTATGTGATCCCCCAGCACCGCTCTGAGGCTGCGCTGGTTGCTCTGTGCCTTGCTGACAGCTTCGGCTGTGGGGTTTGGGATTGCAGCCAAGTGAGGTTGTGCCTCGCTGCAGCTTTGACTTGCTCTGCACAAATGATGCTGTGCATCTTTTCATGTGCTCTGAGCCATTTATTCATCTCCTTTGGAGAAAAGTCGATTCAGGGCCTTTGCCCATTTCTAATTGACTCACTTTTTTTTTTTTTTTTTTTGAGTTATAGGAGTTTCTTGTATATTGTAGATACAAGTATCAAATTGGATACATGACCATGTACAATCAACCTATGTATAACTCTCATAGCATCTTCCTACCCATACATTTTTTTAATCTTGTGGAAGTTCTGTCTCTGCATACATCAATACTTACATAAAATGGGATCCCCCTAATGGCTGGATAGGTGGAACCCTGTTTTCTATTGTTATATTCTTTTCTCCACATAAAAATATTGTAGCTAAAATCAATTTTTATAGAAGAAAGGGAGGGAGGGAGAAAGGCAAGGATGGAGGGGAAAGAGGGAAGAAAATCATGTTTGACACCTGTGCCCTAACACAACCAAAGCCAGAACTCAGGGGCCTTGCGGTCTTCCTTTCTGACCCAAGAGGTACAAGATCATCGGCAGTCCACAAGATGCCAGTGGGTCTGAGCACTGTAGCTTGATGTTCCTTGTCAGACGTGACCTGCTAGTGTTTTGTTAAGGATTCTTCATTTGAGCTCTTGAGAAATACTGATCTGTAGTTTTCACCTTTGTGATGTCTATATATGGCTTGATATTAGGGTATTGTTGACCTAAAATGCGTGAGGAAGTGTATTATATGGCAATTATTTCAAGAAAAGGAACACAAAGAATTGCTATCATTTCTCTCTTAAATATTGATGAATATTAATTCACCAGTAAAACCACCTGGGTCTGGAGCCTTATTTTTGGAAGGCTTTTACTCAATTTAATTTTTAATGGATATTATCTCTAGTTAAATATTTATTTCTCCTGCTGTGAAATGTAGTAGTTTCAAGAAATGAGTCCACTGTGTCTAAATTATCAAGTTTGTGGGCGTAAGGTTTGCAGAGTATTCCTCTGTTACCCTTTAATGTCCATAGCACCCGCAGTGATGGCCTCTCTTTTATTTCTAAAATAAATTGAACTTTTTCTTTTTCTTGGTTAGTATAATTATGAGTCCGTTAGCTCATTAAACTTTTCAAAGGACTAGATGTAGTTTCTTTTAATTTTTCCATTTTTTCTTGATTTCCACTTCCATGATGTTAGCTTTTTTATTTCATTTTGTGTGTGTGTTTTTTTTATGAGCAGAATATATTTATTGAGAGAAAGAAAGCTCCTGTCCAAGAGAGGGACAGGAGGGGGTCCCGAGCGGGTAGCTCCCCTTTGTGTGTGCTTTAAGCTCAGTCTCCAGCCTCCTAAAGTGGAATTTTAAATGATTACTTCTAGAAAATTCTTGCACTCTATCACCTGTACTCAGTTCTCCACGTGTTACCCTGCCTGTACACTGCACCCCACCAATCCTGATCAACTGTGCTTTAATCTTAATTTAGCTAAAAATATGTTTTAATTTCTCTTAAGCTTCCTTTTTCACATCATGTGTTATTGAAAACTGTTGTTTAATCTTCAAATAATTTGTGATTTTCTAGCTATCTTTATATTGTACTCTACTTTGATTTATAATTTAATTTGTGGAAGAACGGATGCTACGTAATTTTTATTCTTTTGAACTTATCAAGGTGCACTTTTTGGCCCAGAATATGGTCTCTCCAGGTGAATTTCCCAAATGAGCTCCAAAAGAATGTGTGTTCTGCTATTTTTGGGGCTATCTATCTATCTACGTGTCTCTCTATCTAAAGTGTATTCCATTGGTCAGTGGTACTATTGAATTCAAGGCTGTCATTCCTAGATTTCTACCCACGGAATCTGTCTACTTCTGGAAAGAAGGGTTGAGATCTCCGACAGTGATAGCAGATTCATCCATTTCTTCTTGAACTTCTGCCTAGTTTTGTCTTAGTATTTGAGACTGTGCCCTGAGACTGGTCATCTTAAGTAGGAGCTGTTATGTCCTGCTAGATAATCGACCCCGGTCTCATTATGTAATGTCCCTATCACTGATAATCTTCCTTATTCTGACATTTGATTTATCTGAAAGTAATATAGCTAATCTTGCTTTGTAAGTGTCAGCATGGCTTCCTTCTCTCCATTGCTGTGTGTGTGTGTGTGTGTGTGTGTGTGTGTGCTGTAGTTTGTGCCCAGTGCGCCATGTACCTGAAGCTCTACCACTCAGTCTGCCCCCCTTTTTTTCCTTGTGGCACCAGGAATCAAACTCAGGACCTTACACTTGCCAAGCAAGCACTTATTCCACTGAACTACCTCCCAGGCCTCCTGCTTCCCTCTTTTTCTGGTAATATATCTGAATTGTCACCTTTAAAATAAGGCTTCTTAGACAATGTGTAGTTCAGCGTTTTGCAGGCACTCTGTCTCCTCGCTGATACATTTAGACTATTCCCTTTTAAAGCGATTCCCTGGGGCTGGCAAGATGGCTCAGCTGTCTAACGCGCCTGCTTACGCAAGCTTAGGCAAGCACAGGGGACTGTGGTTGGATCCCTGGCACTACATGACACGCCAGCCCCACCCGCAGGGTGGGCTGAGCCAGCAAAAAATAAATAAATAAAATAAAGTGATTCCCAATCCACCATGTTTATGAATGTCATTAATTGATTGCGTTTTCTCTGTTTCCTTCCCTGTTTTTCTGCCTTCTCTGGTTTCCATCGAGCGTGTCGTATGTTTTCACTTTCTGTCCTCTCTGGCGTGTCACTATACTCATTTTGTTGGTTAATGATAGCTAATTTTGCATGTCAAACTGGCCACACCACAATGTCCAAACATGTAGTAAGACATTATCGTGGATGTTCTTGAGCGAGGTTAACGTTTAAATCAAAGGACTTCGCCTAAGACTGGTCGCCCCTGTAATTTGTGTGAGCGCTGTGCAATCTGCTGAAGGCTGAGCCGAGCAAAGCACTGGCCTGCCCTGAGCAAGAGGGACTGCAGCAGACGCACTTGTGTGTACATGCAGCACCTTCTCCCACCTGGGCCCCCTCCCGCCAGCCTACCCTGCAGATTTCGGGCTTCCCGGCCCCCAGAGCAGGCAGAGCCGACTCTGCAAGTGCGTGTCGGTGTACACCAGTCACAGCGGTGAGTTTCTCCAGAAAACTCTTGACAAATGCACATTCCAATTCTGGGAGTGGTTGTGGAGCATCTGAACAGGGAGGTTGGGTTTTCTGAATTAGTTCTCAGGTGTCTAGACTTGGCCATCCAGCTGGATTTGGTCGTAAACCACCACTAACTCTATTTCCAGTAATAAAGAGAATGCTAATAGTTCGTGATGTCAGAGGTTCTCAAGATATCGTCATTGGAAACTCTTAATCCAACACAAGAAGAAGTCAGGATCTAGGTGACCATATCTATGATGTCTTCAGGTGTTTTTGTCAAACAAATGAGCACAGGAACAATGACTGGGAAGGGACAGGGACTTGAGAGCTGCACATGGGAAGATGCTCATGGAGCTGGAGACGCCGAGCCCGCAAGTTATTCTGAGACCTCCCTCCTCGGCTCCCCTGAGAGGGCATCACGGGAGATGCTGCCACCACAGCCGCCGCCACCCCCATCTTCTAGACCTACAACTAGACACGCGCCCCAACAGCCCCAAGTGTGAGCCCAGCATGACCCAGGAGGTGGCATGCCACACTCCCTCAAGTCTCCTCGGGTTTTCGAATTTACACAGACAGAAAACAGGGGCAGAAATGAGTCCTAAGAGTAAGAGACAATGACAGAAGAAGTAAGAGTTGGGTCAGGCTGGATTTACGGACAGGAGCTCACTAGGTAGAGGTTGCGCTTTCCACTGGCGGGGTGGGCCTGAAGGAGGGCCACAGGAAGTGACCCAAAGTGCAGAGGCCTGCCTTGGTGGGCCCCAAGCAGAGGCGTTCAAAGGCTTCAGGAGCCGGGAGCATTAGAACAGATTTCTCCCCACCACAGGGGAACCTGAGAGGCACAGAGAAATCTGGGGAGAGAGACCCCAGCATCTTGGAGGTCCCCTGAGTTTGCTCTTCTCTTCAGGTCAATCTATCCTCACTTGGGGACTGCAGCCACTGGACCTAAACACAATGGCAGCCGTGGGGCCCCAGGGTGGCAAATAACCACACTGGTGGGTGTCATGATTAGAGCAGATGTGACATCAAAACAGTATGGTGTCCTAGGAGAGACTCAAATAGGAGCCACATGACACATCAGGCTGCTCTTCTAGAAGGTGACGGATAGGCTCTGAAACCAGACCAGGTGCAAAGCTTGAGGCCTGTTCCTTTGCTACACCACCTCCCAGAGCAGGTTCACATCTCAATAATAATCCTTTCTTTGCATTTTTCTCTGAAAGGAGAATTTTGAGACTGTGACTGACAGACACTGAGACAATCAGTGAGGAGCTGCGTGGTCTCCTCCTCCAGCCCATGTGGAGGCGGCCCATCCCAGCCACTGTTAACTGAAAATCAAAGACAAGCCGGGCATGGCGTCACATGCCCGTGTGATCCCAGTGTTCCAGGAGGCTGAGACAGGAGGATCACAGGTTCAAGCTCAGTCCCTGGGCAGCTTAGGGACTTTGTGAGGCCCCATCTCAAAAGATGAAGGAGGGAGATTTGATGCAAAGGCCCTGAGTGCAACCCTAATACCACACATGAAAAAGAAAGAAAGAAAAAGTAGATAAACGAGCCCTGAGCGTGTCTCTTAGGCAGTCTCACCTTCCCTAGCTAATTCCCCAATGTCTAGCTAGGACCAGACACAAGCATGCGCAGTCTGCCTCAGTGACATGGGAGTCAGGGGCAGGATCCAGACCCCAGCCTGTGCCCTGAGTGGGTGAAGGCAGTCGCCTCTGTCGGCTGCACTTTATGAGCTCAGGGACCAGCCCTGGGGTCCTGGCACTGAGGGTGGCAACCTGGGCGGGGACAATGCTACATGGGACGCAAAGGTGACAGTAGCAACCCTGGCCTCCCAGGAGGTAGCCTGGGGTGAGGGGAAGCCAGAGCATCCAGGACTCAGGAAATGGCTGGGACATAGGTGGGGCCAGGCGCTGTCTCAGAGGGAAGTGGCCCTTGGAAGTGGTCAGTGGGTGGGTGGGTGCCGGGGCATTGTGGGGAGAACCAGATGGTTCACAGTTTCGGGGGCAGAGGAGATGGGGGCTTGGGCCCAGAGATATGAGGGCAGCTGAGCCGCTGTGGTGGTGCTTGGGGCAAGGGCGGAAGTAGAGGGGAATGAGCAAAGGGACCAAAGTTAGCACTTGCTGCGGGACCTTCCCAGGAAGAGCCCAGGGCCTGTCCTTGCCTGTCTGTTGCTGAAGGGAAGGGAGGCCCAAGGGCCCTGGGGACAAAGGGGCCTGGCTCACCCAGACCCCGCTGGTGAGGGGCATCCTCTCTGCAGATAGAAACCAGCACCACCACCCGGCACGAAACACCAACTGTCCGAGCGGGTGAGGCGGACAGGCGAGGGGACTGTACAAACACACGTGAGACGCTTCCGTCAGCAGCCACTGTGCAGGTTTTATTTCAGCTTTGTTTCCGCTCTGCACAAACAGATGCCCGGGGCAATCTCCACTTCTCCCTCCAGCCCCGGTCACATCCACAACTCCTCACTGCTCCCCTTTCTGCCACCCTCCACCAGGCACGTGCCTGTGGGAGCTACAGAGCAAAGCTTTCTCACATGTAGATTCATTGTCCCTTAGATAGGACAGAAGTGCTGCACAGCCTTTGCTGGCGCTCTTCCTGGGTGGCATCAACCATGCTCTGGAGAAACAGAAGCGTTTGGGAGAGCAGAAACACAGGTGCTTACACGTGAGGCGCTGAGAAGTTTTGTGATACATAAATTACTATAGCACAAGTTACTGTGTAGAAAAAAATAAACTTAGAGTGAATAAATATAAACCAGATTATATATAAGTCACGTGTGTAGTATAAAAACTAGCTCCTGTATATATACATATGCACATATATAAAAATGTGTGTGCTCTGGAGTATAAATATACTAGGTCCTTAAATAGCTCACGTGAAAGAACATATAGTACATGTATTTTCAGCTCTGTAGGTTAAAATACTGCTGGCAGTTGGGGTCCCCTCTGGCCTCCAGAGACCCCGGGATCCGCTTCCCACTCCAAGGATAGACACACCAGCACAGCCCCGCCTCGCCGTCCAGGGACGTCTCACACTGTGAAGAAAGGACCGAGGAGGTCAAAGGCGGCAGAGAAGGAGCCCAGAGAAGCTGCTGGCGCAGTGAGGACCCGGAGCTGGCAGCCCAGTCCCTACCAGCTTGTCCTGAGGCAGGGCTGGCAGCTAAGTGGCACATGCCCAAATGCAATGGCAGGGCATACGACAGTTACCTGCTCCATGGCCCCAGTGCCCGGGAGCCCAGTCCTGGGACAGCGCATCCTGAATGTGAACCCCTGTTCCCATCTGTTGTAAAGTGGTGTCTAGACCTCAGTCTCCCCTGATGGAAATCCTCCGAACCTGTGCTTCTCTGAGTCCCAGAAAGTCCTGGGCTAGTGAAATCTCATTTCCTCTTTGGCAAGGCATGCAATGCTACTGTATTTTACTATAGTAAGAGAAGTTCCAAGAGATCCTTGCTCCCCTCAACTGGATCAGTGGGGTGGGGGTGGAGCCCCAAGTGTTGAGACCTGAGGACGCCCTGTCTTCTGCTTGCTTGCCCCCAGGGCTGCAGACCAGCACTGAGTCCCATTCCTTGCCATGGGATCTGAAGCTGCCCATCGGGCCATCGTGGACTCCCCTCTCCTGGGCCCCATGGAGGTGATCTTGTTTCATGAGACCCATTGTGGTGTGTCTTTAGAACTGAATGTTCTTTGCCATGAAGGACAGGGGCTTTGCGGGATGTGGGGACCCGTGACCAGCCCACAGGAACACCATTCACAAGCTCACCTACCTGTTTGCTATGATAGAATCCATTCTTGTTGCAGTTTGGCAGATAAAATTTGTAGATTTCTTCCCCCGCCCTCTGCTGAGCATTGGCTAATCTCTCCAGTACTTTGTAGAGTTCTCGCTGGCATGGCTGCTAAAAGAAACATGTGACATTAGGACCAACAGAAGAGACGGTGACCTGTGACCATCAGCCTAGAGGATGACTCAGGCAGAAGGGTTTCTAAGGGCAGGAGCTCCTGGCCATGGAATCTAGGACGAAGCCTCGAGTGTCAAATGTGATTTGTCCCATGCATGAGGGGGTCACTGTCTTGAGCCATCAGGATAAAGGATGAGAACCTCATTGTCTCCCTCTGCACACTACCTAGGCAACTACGCAAAGGCATTCCCAGGCAAGTACCCAGTCAACAAAACCCACGAAACTCTTCCAGTCCCTTCCTGGCACCTGCTGAATAGCTGTGCCACCTGCCACCTGCTGCTGCAGGTGGACACGGCTCCAGGAAAGGGGGCTTCAGTCACCCAGATGTCTAGATCTGGAACATCTCTGTCCTCTGCCATCTACAAGATAATTCCACCCACTCCAAGTCCAGGGAGGAGCGAGAGACCCTCAGCCGGATAACCTGAGTAAGGATTAAGTCTCCTACATTTGTCCTCAGTTCCAGGTGGACTTCTGAAGCTCCTAACGAGTGCTCCTTCCACTTTTCTGGGGTATGCATATTTGTATGAGGAGCTCCTTCTTACTTTGCTATCCCCACCAAACGAAATCACACTCCTCCAACTCTGGTTCTCTGTTGCCCTCCAGTGGTGAAACGAAAACCAGCTGCTAATGCAGGTGGCAGTGATTGCAGGGGAGCTGGCGAGGAGGAAAGAACATCTACACTGAAAGTGGTTTGAGCAGTAAATTTTATGCTGTGCATTTTACCCTAATTTTTTTTTCCCAAAGATACAGTGGAGAGAACTGAGATCCTTGTGCTCAGCTTCCAACTCAGCTCTTTAGAGAAGATCTCCAACACCCTCCTTTCAGGGGTGAGGCCCACCCCAAGCATGCACCCACCCTGCTCACCTTCCATTTCTTGATGTCTGCGACATCATGGGTCTGCATGCTGTTGTAGGTGCTGATGGCATTCCAGAGGATGGGCAGGTCCTCCCTGGAGGGGGCCATCAGGTGGAAATTCTCCAGCAGCTGCGCTTCAGTCATCTCGCCACTCTCGGGGTGCTGGGGGGCCCGGGGTACCTTGGCCTCTGAAAAGGGAGAACCCCAGCCCGTGAGCTTACAGCAGTACCGACCCCAAGTTGTCCCCTCACCTCGGCATTAGGCTGGGACTCAAGGTTGATCGGGCTGACCCTGATGTGGCAATTGTTTCCGGGAACAACTAAGTGCAGCAGCTTAAGTGCTCTGCAGAAACGCTGTCTCAGGAGGCAGCCGGGAGGGCCTGTGCTTTCGCCTCCGAGGCATGAGGGAGGGGACCTTGCGCACATCTGCCGAGGTTAAGGCAGGGGTTGATTCCAGAGCCAATTCGTGAGGAGCCTCAGAGCCTCAGCATTCCCATCCGGAACAAGGGGACTTCAGTAGTACTCCAGGATCAGGCAAGGGGTCATCCAAACTGGGATCTAGAGTGCCCCTCTCCTGAGGCAGACATCTAGCCTCTCCTTTTCTGGGGGAATCTGCCAGCCCACATGCCCAGTGACTTCCTAACAGCCCCCAAAGATGGGGAGGTGACAGCCACCTTGCAGGTGGACTCCAGGGGTGAGAAGCAAAGCCACACCCTCACCCCAGGGAAATCCTGCCCTTTGTAAACCATTAAGACAGCCTCTTTCATTTACTCTACTGGAGGGAGAACCTGCAGTAAAAGCTGGTCCCAGGAAGGGTCACACGCTCTCCCTGGGAAGGGTCACGTGTTCCCAGGCTGATCCCTATCAGGTAAGGAACCACGAGACCCCTCCAAGCCTCACACAGGACATGCCACCAGCCCTGATGGGGCGATAGGGCACTGGAGGGGAGGAAGAGGCCTTTCCTCAGCTTCCTACTACAAACAAATCACAGCCTAAATTCAGGAAGCAGCCTGATTGTCCCATTCTCAGGGGACAACATACACATCAAACATTGTTTGTCTATAGCAATGAATGGAAGTGAAGTTTTCAGCCTAAATTTTCACATTATGTTCTACAAACACCAGGGAGGCACACGGCGTATTCACAGGATATATATCACAAAGGACATTCCAAACACCTCCTGCAGGGCCAGCAGGAGGGAGTTCCCAACCTAAACTTTCCCGAATGAACTTTCCAGCCTCTGGGGCTGCTGCGGGCCTGTGCTGGGAGGAGAGGACTTGGATGCTGCCTGTGGCTGGCAGCCCCACCCGCCAGCTCTGCTGCCTCCCCCTTCTCCATCCGGGCCTCTAGAGATCTTAGGGAGCCAGGGTGTCCGAAGTCAGTCTCTCCCCTCTCCAGGGTCACCTCCCACCAGGACCAAGCAATGATGGGCCTCCAGAGAGACTTAAGTTCTTTTCCACCCACATCTCTAGCTGCAAGCATTGGGCCCAGGGGTGGGGACTGTCCTACCTTCACCTTCAGCGCTGGACACAGCCCCCGAGGTGGACACAGCTGACTCTGGCACACAGGTTCCCTGGCCGCGGGTGAGAGCCTGCAGGGGCCGGGGCTCCCCAGGCAGTGCACGGCAGCTGAGTCCCTGGGCACAGCGTGCAGTGGCCACGCCGCAGGAGGCACCAAATGCCAGGGCACACACAGGGCAGCAGCCACAGCCTGCAGGCCGGGAGACCTCCTGGCAGGAGGCAGGCACGGGTGGGCAGAGCGCCAGGCGCTCAGCAGAGCAGGGCGCGCAGTGCCATGGTTGGGGCGCGCTGACCACCATGGCAACCTGGACGGTCAGCAGGAGCAGGAGCGGCCGAGGGCCAGTGACTGGGACCTCAGGCATCACAAGGCCTGTGGTGGGCAGTAGACAGCCTCACTGGATGGTGGTCAGTGCTGGGCACGGTGGTCAGTGCTGGGCGCGGTGGCAAAGGTGCAGAGTGGATGGTCGAGGATGGGCAGCTGAGTCAGTGTCTGATGCTGGGCCGGTTGGTGGCAGAGGCTGCAAATGATGCCTGTGGGGTGCAGCCAGCTCCTTATGAAGCAGGCGACCCCAGGACCCAGAGGTTAATGATTGTCAGCGCTACCGTGCTCCCAGCCCAGTGTTCAAAATAAGTTTGTTTTGCTCGTGCGCTCTGCGCAAACCGTGGGTGGAAGGAGGGTACATGGTTCAGGTTCCAGCTCTGTTTGTCCTGCTATTATGGGTTCAGGCGGGAGCTAAAGTCCAGTTCTGAGGTCAGGCTCACCGCCAGATGGGGGTAGCACTTGTTTTTGTTCTGGGGAACAGGAGGCCTGGCTGGGGATCTGCTCCCTTCCTGAGCTCAGGGAAAGCCTGGCTGTTTTGCATGTAGGGGAACCAAGGCCAAGGGTGGACAAGAGCTGGACAGGTCAGACCCAGGACTCCATAGCTGTGATGGGCATGGAGGGAGTGGGTTTCCCTAGGGAAAAGCCCAGAAATTAGTTTTCTCTCTGCTGGATGAAGCCCCCAAAGAAGTCCATATTGCCCAGGGGCTCAAGCCCCCTGGGCTCAGTGTCTCTCACTGGGAGAGAAGGGTGCCAGGAGTCCAGGTCCCAGCTGCCTGGCCATCTTGGCTTAAGTCAAATGTTTATCAGTAAGTGAATACAAAGTCTTTCTCTTTAGGTAAAATGCCTTCTGCCTGGCATTCTCTTGAGTCACAAGAAATAACGTGAGGCCGATGAGATAGCTCAGTGGACTAAGCGTCTGCTTAGGCAAGCTCAGGGACCGGGGTTCAATCCCCAGTCCCTCATGCCATGCTGAGCTGGCAACTGAGTCCCAGTGTGGTGGCACATGCTTGCAGTCACAGCACTGGGGAAGCTGGAAACAAGAGGATCACTTTGAGTTCAAGCTGTGTAGTGAGACCTTGTACCAAATACATAAATGAAAAAAGAAAGAATGTGAGAAGCCCTTAAAGAAAATCAGAAATGCCCCATCTCTGGGGGCTCAGGGGCTCCCAGAGGGACATGCGCTAGGGAGGTGAAGCCTCCAGGCTGGGGTCCCCAAGCTCTGCATCCTGCCAGCCCCATCTCCACCTCTAGGACCAGGGCAGGCTCAGAGCACCACCCGCCCACCCCCAAAGCAGATTTCAGGTCTAAGGAGGGCTTGGGGGCCACACATCCAGCTTGTCACTTTACATAGGAGGACACTGCAGCCAGAGGAGGGAGACAGAAGATTCAACAACTCTGAGCTAAGAACTATCTGGATTCCTCAGGCCCCCAAACTTCAAAGACCCAATCAAAAAAGAGGCATCTGAGATGAACACATATTTCTCAGATGAAGTAATACAAAAGGCAAATAAATATATGGAAAAAGGGCTGGGGATATAGCTCAGCAACATAAGAGCCTGCCAGGTCCTGCGCTTGATCCCTGGTACTGCAAATACATACACATATACATATATACATACATATATATATACATATGCATGTATATATATATATATATGTTTAACATAATTGATCATTCAAAAAATGCATGTTAAAACAACACTGAGACTTCATCTCACCCCAGAAAGAATGACTATCATCAAAAAGTCAGCTAATAACAAATGGTGGAGGGGTTGCAGGGACAAGGAACTCTTTTCCACTGTTGGTGGGAGTGCAGACTGGTGCAACTACTGTGGAAATCTGTATGGAGACTCCTCAACAAGCTAGGACTAGAGGTCCCGCTCCACCCAGCCAGTCCCCTTTTGGGAATCTTCCCAGAAAAGCAGAATGCATCACATCACAGTGGTACTTGTGCACCATGTTTTCAGCAGCACAATTTGTCCTAGTGAAATCTTAGGAACAGCCCTGAAGCCCATCAATTGAGGAATGGATACAAAAGATGTGGCATTTTTATACAATGGAGTGCTACTCAGCTATACACAGAGATAAACTGGAGGCTTTTATAAGTAAATGAATGCAACTAGAGTCCAAACTCACAAAATAAACCAGACCCAGATGTGTAAACACCATAGTGTCTTCCTGCTGTAAGAACGGAAGGAGAAAATAAAATGCAAAAGGCACACTACATACTGTGAAAGGGAAAGAAACTACTCAAAGAACTGGAATGAGGGAAAGGAAAAAAGAAAGAAGGAAGGAAGAAAAAAATACTTTTCTACAATACAATAATTGTACTAATTTCTTGACTTATTGAAAGGAACAGTTAATGCTTAGTTTTTTGACCAGTTTTACATGCTTATATCTGATAATCTGAACAACTACTTTGAAGACAATAATATGTCATAGAACAGCAATTGTTGGATTCCTGTCTTGTTTGTTGAAATTCTGTATTGTTTGTAATGTTTTTTATTCTTTATAAAATAAAAAAAATCTATTGTGTCTGTTTAAAAGAAAAACAAAGTCACAGGCTCACAAGCTGCCCTGGCCCATGGCAGGGGGTCACTCACACCCCTGTCACCTGAAGCATGCTCCTGACCCACACACTCCTACCTTGGGGAAATCCCCCGTGCTGTCACTTGGTGAAGGCGACCTAAATAACACACATACTGATGACTGAGGGAGGCAGCCTGGATGCTCCTTGTGGAGAGTCGTGGTGGGGCTCAGGGTGGCCGGGTTTGGGGTGTAGAGGACACTCTAGTAGCTAAGGAGAGGACCTAAGGACTGGGGGGCGATGGGCCACTGGGGCACTGCGGTGGGGACAGCAGAGTTGGGGACTGGGGAGGTGTCACCAGCAGAAGGGGCTGGGGAAGATGTCCAGGGTGTGGAGAAGCAGGAGTGCTGCCCCCACCCAGAGCGTGCACCGTGTACAGCCAGCCGGCGCCACCAGCGTCTGCCCCTGGGAGGTCCACCTGGATTCACCCCAGGGATGGAGGAAGCCATCCCATCCCTGCTTCTTGGGGCTGCTGTGACACACCCAGCCCATGGGCATTGCTGCAGGGAGTTGTGGGGGCACAGGAAAGGATTCTGTGTCAGCCCTGGGCTCTGCACACCACAGGTGACAAGAAAAGATGGACCAACAATCTCTGCTCTGAAGCGCGCCTGTGGTGCCCCAAACGCCCAGGGCCAGGGCTGCGATCAGTACACCCGGGCATCCTTTCCCTGACAAATGTACAGTGACAACAGCTCCGTGGATCTGCTGGAGGAAAAATCTCCAAGCTGAGTTAAAGCAACAAGGCGCAGAATGTGGTACAGCTGGTGTATACCAAAAGGAGTATGAGTCCCCACAGGGCCAGCGTCTTGAGAAGGCCAGACAAGAACCTGACAGGACGTGAACTGAACGGCTACCCAGAGGGTTGGTTTCCCTTTCCAGCACTGGAGACCGAAGCCAGGGCTGTGGCAGTTAGCTGCGTCCCTGGACCCTTTTCAAATGTTTTTATTTTGAGGCAGGGCTTGCTGAGTCACTAGGTTGCCCAGGCTGAGCTTCAACTTGCAGGCCTCCTGCCTCAGCCTCCCCAAGTGCTAGGGTTACAGTGTGCACCACTGTACCCGGCTCTCCGTAACCACCCTTGCCTTTCTGATTCCTACCGGGTACTCGTGCTGCTCTAGGACCTACCTAAACAGTCTCCAAGCTGAAATGAACTTCCTGCTTCCTCTCTTAGCCCCGGTCCCTGAGGTGTGAGGGGAGACTTGAATGCTGAGCTGACTTTTGCACTACCTGAACAGCGCAATAAGCCGCAGCCGCTCACCAACTACCAGAACGAGGCGGGGAAGCAAAGGCAGTTGTAGTTGACAGCTCATGATTGTGTTTGTTGTTTGTGATGGTTGTGTCCATCAGAGTAAGAAAAGCTCAACCAAATCTGCTCAGCAATTCCACATGTTGGGGTGTGGAACACCCGCCCTAGGTGGTTTGTTGCCCATGAAGGAGGACGGATCTGGTTTTCTCCTGAGGAGCTCGAGCCTTTAACTTCATCTTGGACATCATCTCCTGGCTCGCAGCACAGATTCTTCAGCCTCCAGAGTGGACTCTTCCACCTTCTGGCGCAGACCTATCGGCCTCCTGATACGGACTCGCATGGGACCCTGCAGTGGGCTCCAGGCCCCGCGCTGGATCCTTTGGCCTCCAGGGTGCAGGCGCCCCGCATGCTTCCTCATCCAACTCTGGGCAACCGTCCTAAGCTGATCTTGTAATTTCTCATACACTTGTGTATCTCACATTCCATCCTCTTCTCTAAACACTGACTGGTACATTGCTAATTTTTACTGCGCAGTATTTAGTATCTGGTTATGGAACCAACCACTGAAACTTTCTTTTAACATTCTTTTGTTTGAAACTTAAATTTTAAACTTTATGTTTTTAAAAGTTTCATTTGAAATGAATGGTTTCAATATCTGTCCTTAAATAACTTCATTTCCAGAGGAAAAATCTGTGCTCTGAGTTTTGTTTTCTGTTCGATTCTCTCACCTTGCAATCACTGTCTACGCCCGAAATGTTTTCTTAATGAAACACATGAAAGAGGAATCCGCTGGCAGACATTCGGGCCCACATTCTGGGTGCCAGACACTTCGCCTGGCCGGGACAGTGCACCCTGCTGTGCCCTTGCCCTCCTGCCCTGGGAACTACCTCACCCTGCGTGGAGCAGAACTTCCCATAGAATCAGTTCCCAAATATTTCCACTGCTTGCCCCATAGCAACGGCTGACCAAAACATCACCAAACTCTGCCTTCCCTCCCAAAGCAATTGCAATGAAAATGGTGCCGGGCCCCTTCCTCCAGGCCTGTGCAGGGTGACAACCCTTTCCTGGCAGGTCAGAGCGACAGCTGTGACTCAGCAGCCTGCCCCACCTAGCCCTAATCCTGGGCCCAGAATTTAAGTTCTGTTTCCCACTAGAATGCCACTTTTTCCCCATTCATTAAAAACCCCAACTCCACATTCACCCCATTACCTCGGCCTTGACAGTTTTGTACCCAAATTCCATCACCCGCCAGTCCAAGCCCTCCTCTCAGTGCAGAGCTGGGAGCAAAGCATGGGGGTTAGGGCCATGGGGTGTGTCCCCAGTAGAGCCGTGACCTACTGAGCTTGAAGTCCTGAGGGTGGAGAGCTTTCCCAGCTAAGAGGAAGAGCGT